AAACATTTAAAATTTAACAAAATCATAGCTGAAAAATTACGAAGTCTTGCAAGAGATAGAGATAATCAGATACAGGAAGCTCAAAAATCCTCAAATAGATTCAACTTGAAAGGTCTTCTCCAAGGCACATTGTAGTCAAATTGTCAAAATTCAAAGACAAAGACAAAATTCTAAAAACAGCAAGAGAAAATCAGCAAGTTACATGTAAAGGAGCCCCCATCAGAATAACAGCAGATTTCTCAGCATAAACCTTACAGGCCAGGTAACAATAAGATGATATATTGAAAGTGCTAAAAGAAAACAACAACAACAAAAAAAACCTGGCAGACAAGAATATTATACCCAGGAAAGCTATCCTTCAAAAATAAAGAGAAATAAGGTTTTTCCCAGGCAAGCAAAAATTGAGGTAATTCACCATCATTAGACTATCCCTACAAGAAATGCCTAAGGCATTCCTACCTGTGGAAACAAAAGGATGATATCTACCATCATGAAAACACATGAAAGTATAAAACTCACTGGTAGAGCAGATACACAAATGAGAAAGAAAAAGGACTCAATGTCACCACTACAAGAAACCACCAAGCTATGATGATAAGCAATAAAAGAGGAAGAAAGGAACAAAGTATATACAAAATAACCAGAAAACAATTAATAAAATTATAGGAATAAATCCTCACATCAATAATAATCTTGAATATGAATAGATAAAATTTCCCACTTAAAAGATACAGACTGGCTGAGTGGATAAAAATGTATGACCCAACAATATGCTGCCTACAAGAAACTCATTTGACCTGTAAATACACATACAGACTGAAAGTGAAGGGATAGAAAAAGATATTCTAGGCAAATAGAAACCAAAAGCAAGCAAGAGTAGTTATATTTACATCAGGTATCACAAACTATAAGTCAAATACTCTGAAAAGAGACAATATATAATGATAAAGGGATCAATTTAGCAAGAGGATAAAAGGATTCTAAATATATATATGCACCCGACACTGGAGCACCCAGGTATAAGCAAATATTATTAGAACTAAAGGGAGAGATAGACTCCAATACAATAGTAGTTGTGTACTTCAACATCCCACTTTCATTATTGGACACATCATCTAGCTGGAAAATAAACAAAGAAACATTGTTTTTAAACTACACTTAGACCAAATGGACTAACAAATATTTACAGAACAGTTTTAGAATACACATTCTTATCAGCACATGGAACATTCTCCAGGATAGATGATTTGTTAGGCTGCAAAACAAGTCTCAACAAGTCTTTTTGAATTTAAATTATATCAAGTGTCTTCTCAGAACACATTGGAATAAAACTAGAAAGCAAAAACAGAAGGAACTTTGGAAACTGTACAAATACATGGAAGTTAAACACACACTCCTGAACAACCATTGGATCAATGAAGAAACTATGAAGGAAATCAAAAACTTCCTGAAATAAATGAAAATGGAAACACAACATACGGAAACCTATAGGGCACAGAAAAAGCAGTGCTAAGAGGAAAGTTTATAGCAATAAATACCTACTTCAAAGACCCTGCTTGTCCCTGTTTACCCTCTCCTTACTCTATAAAAGAAAAACCTTTTTTCTGTTCGATTTTGAGATATTTGTAGACCTTGTGGTCTCAGGGTCCTCCTATTGCAATTGTTCATTTCCTTCCTTTGCAATAGTCCTTTGGAATAAAAGTCTCTCCCTAGTTAAAAAAAAAAAAAAAGTAGAAGGATTTTTAAGTAAACCTAATGATATACTTCAAGGAACCAGAAAAGCAAAAACAAACCAAATTAATAGAAACCAGAATTAGTATAAGGAAAGAAATAATGAAAATCAAAGCCAAAGTAAATGGAATAGGGACTACGAAAATAATACAAAGGATCAACAATATAAAAAGTTGATTTTTTGAAAAGATAAAATCGATAAAACACTAGCTATGCAAATCAAGAAAAAGGAATACCCAAATAAATAAAATCAGAAACAAAAAAGGAGACATAACAACTGTTAGCCCAGAAACATTAAAAACTATTGGGAGCAACTGTATACTAACAAATTGAAAAACCCAGTGGAGATGGATAAATTCCTGGATGCATACAATCTACCAGTATTGAATAGAAAGAAATAGAAAACCTGAACAGACCAATAAGGAGTAATAAAACTGAATCAGTAATAAGAAGGCTCCCAATAAAGTGAAGCCCAAAACCAGATGGCTTCGCTGCTGAATTCTACCAAATGTGTAAAGAGCTAACACTAATGTTAGGGTGGAAACTTGTAGCATGGGTTGAGAAAGAATTCTCAACACAGAGGTTAAGATAGAAGTAAAAAGTTTCTTTTATT